GTATCAAGTTGCTGTTTGTTGTATGTATTGTTTGTTTTCTCAAATCATTGAAACTCTGAATGCTGTGTGGAAATGGTTGAGGAGAGGGTCTGTTCCAGCAACATCAGGGTTCCCAAGTGAACATCAGAGAGCGGGCAGAGCTCATGGGAAAGGGGAGAGTGGCTTGGAGTTTGATTGAAGTTGCTGATATTAAATGCAGGAGTCCTGGTTTTCTGTGCTCCACCCTATACTTTTCACTGGGGTGAGTTGAGTGCAGCATGGGTGTGGCTGCCGAGCTGGTGGAGTGTTCTGCTGGACTAGTGCCTGGAGGACGCAGGAATGAGAGACTAGCTCAGGACTAGAGACTGAGAGCAGCCAGGAGCTATTGAAGGGCTTTGGAGGACAGGATTATGCTCAGACTCACTTCCCATACCACCCCTCATACTGAATGTGCAGGGCTGGTGGGTGGGGTGGCAGCAAAATCAGGTTTAAGGAGCTGGGTGTTTGGTACCACAATTCAATATGGGATGCTGTGCCTGGTTAGAGTTCCACTTACTCCACTTCGATTCTAGATTCTTGCTAATTCTCACCCTGGGAGGCAACAGATGATGGCTTAAGAACTTGGGACCCTGGCACTCAGGTGGGAGACCTGGATTTGGTTCCAGGCTCATGGCTTGAGCCTTTCCAACCTTTGCTATTGTGAACATTTAGGGAGTGAACCAGCAAGTGGAGGCTCTGCTTCTGTCCTCTGTCTCTGCCTTTCAGATAAAATGAAAACTTTTAAAAATTGCCTTTAGCATAGAAAAATAATTCCAGTGAAGGGAGATCAGTTTTGGTGAAAGAAAAGTAGGTGATTTCAGTAAATGCTAGGGTGGTAGACTTAATGGAACATGGTACTGCTTGGTTAACAGGAACAAAGGCGGGGGCACAGACGACCCTCATTTCTGCCTTACATGGCTTGGTGACTCATAGTGACCTTTGAGACAGAAACAGAGGAAAGAATAGCAGAGCTGGAAGCAGCTGGCTTGGCCTCTGTTGGACAACTTCTACACTATGTGTGTGGACCTGCAGAGGTGGGCGGCATAGGGGTGGGCATTGAGTTACAGGTAAGTATTGGCACTGTGTACTCCCACAGTCTCTGCTCTTCGTGCTAATAAAGGTGCCAGGACCATCAGGTGGGCACTTCTGGGAGGTATCAACCAGGAAATAAGGTAGCGGGTAACCACAGTAAGATGACAGGTGGGTGACTTAACAGATGAGTCATCCCTAGAGAGATCAGAGGGAAGAAGTGTTTTGGGCAGGAGGGACACTTTGAGCAGTGTAAAGCCCAGTAACCAGGGTGTGGATAGTCCTGCATCCAAGTCCCTCTTCTTCTTTTTTTTTTTTAAGATTTATTTATTTTTATTGGAAAGTCAAATGTACAGAGAGGAAGAGAGACAGAGGGGAACATCTTCCATCAGATGGTTCACTCCCCAAGTGGCCGCAATGACTGGAGCTGCACCTATCCAAAGTCAGGCCAGGAGATTCTTCTGGGTCTCCCAAACAGGTGCAGAGTCCCAAGGCTTTGGGCCGTCCTCCACTGCTTTCCCAGGCCACAAGCAGGGAGCTGGATGGAAAGTGGAACTGCCGGGATTAGAACCCATGCCAGTATGAGATCCCGGCATGTGTAAGGCAAGGACTTTAACTACTATGCTATCACACTGGGCCCCAGGCCCCTCTTAAGTTTCCTCTGAGTGTCATGTTCAGTGTTAAGAGTTCCTGTGAAGAGAGACAGGAGGCACTGGCAGGACTGTTCCTGTGTTCCACAGCCACTTGTGCCAGCTCAGAGAGGTAGAGTGCCAGGAGTTGATTGGCTTGTTTTTGGTGGGTTTGACCACAGAGCACTCTGGGGTTGCAGCAGTGGATAATTGAAGACACAGGGGGAAGCTGAGGCTGCTCTCCTTAGACACCTAGTATAGAGACAGACAGACACTGTGATTGAGTGATCACATGAGGTGCCTATTCAGCTGTGTTTGAGTGGCAAAAGAGCCTAGATCCCCTCTCCCAGAGTAAGCATGACACTGACCGTGGGGGGCAAGGCCTGCATGGTGAGCCAGCACCACTCTGCAGCCCAGAAAAGGGTTCTCCTGGGGGGTTCCAGCAGGCTGGGGGCGGGGGGCAGGGGATCTTCAAGCTCCCTTATCACTTTACAGCCCCTAACTTTTAACCTGTTGGCGTGGTTTTCCTGTCTGTGCTGTAAATTCCTGAGGATTAGATCAGGGCTTACTCATCTTTGCTTACCCTGAAGTGCCCTATGCATGTCAGACATGCCTACAAATGCTCACGGCATAAAATCTGCCAGGGTACCACATCCTACACTCCCCAGCCTGCCTGCATCGTTCCAGTTACATTTTCTGAGTAGTTTAGAAAAAGCCTGGTGTTTCTTTTAGCTAAAAACGGCCTACATTATAAAGTTGAATCCTTGCTTTGAAACGTGTTTGCAGCTGTTTGTGTGTGGATATTGGAAGAGGGAGTGGCAGTTGTTACAATTGTTAGGACAAAGGAAGATTTTGTTACTAATCTAGACAGCCAGCTGACTCATCCGAGGGCCTGCACTCTTTCCCATCTGGGTTCTTAGACAGCCCAGACCTGGTGCTGTGCAAAAAAAGAGAAAATAATAGGAAAATGATCCAGGAAGTAGCAACACCTTGTTTTTTACTTCTTCTGATCAGTTGGATTTGAAAGTTATCTCAAAGAAACAGATTTTGTAACGGGTGCATTTTAGAAGTGTGGATCTTTCTCTCCACCAGCCCCTGGGTGGCAGTGGGGAGCAGAGAATCCTAGTGAGAGGCCAGCAACTGCAAACTGGGAGCTGGGTTCTTGAAGACCCGGAACTGTGCAGCTTACCTCTGCCCTGTACTCCCATTTTGGGGTTGTTTGTTTTGCAGGCCAATTCAAGAACCCATATATGGATTTAGAGAAATGCAGAACAGTTGGAATTTACGGAATGCACAACCATCAGATTTAACAGTTAAGAAATGAGGCATTTGGGCCCAATGGCTCAGTGCTTAAATCCTTACCTTGCATGTGCCGGGATCCTATATGGATGCTGGTTCATGTCCAGGCTGCTGCACATCCCACCCAACTCCTTGCTTATAACCTGAGAAAGTAAAAGGATGCCCAAAGCCTTGGGACTCTGCACCTGCGTGGGAAACCCGGCAGATGCTCCTGGCTTCAGATTGGTCAGCTTCAGCCATTGAAACCATTTGCAGAGTAAACCGGTAGATGGGAAAGTCTTTCTCATTGTCTCTCCTCCCTGTAAATCTGATCTGCCTTTCCAATACAAATAAATTATATATGTAAACATTAAATGATATAGCAAAGCCTCATGATTAGGGCCTTCCCAGCTGTTTCCTGTCTTCTCTTTAAAAAAAAAATAGAAGAAGAAGAAATGAGACAATTTTGAGATGGGTGGGGAAAGAATGGGAACATTAAGAGTGGGGATTTTGAGGTTAGAAGATGGTTCTCCTTGGTGTCCAGTGGTTAGTTTTATCTGAGAGCTGTGCCCTGAGCAAGACACGCAGGTGAGAGAGAGGGTGACAGAAGGAATCCCAGGTCAGGGTGCACCCCTGCAACCAGCAGAAGGCATTTGGCATTCTTTGGGGATCCAGACAGAATACTAGGAGCCTAAGCTTGGAACCTGTTTTCATATCACACCCATGCTTAGGATTCTTGGGAGGCAGGGTGGTATTAAGGATGGGGAATAAACAAAAATGTAAGCGGGAAAGAAGCAGTGGTGAGTGTGTGAGGTTGAGCACATTGGGGGAGCTGGGTTCTGACTGGTGGGGTTGCTGCTCTGTCCTGCCTGTCCACTCTCATGTCCTCATTGTCACAGAACTGCCACTCACCTTCATAGGCACTCCACTGCCTTGTGGCCAATCTGGGCTGGCCTGTGTTTGAGAAGCCTGCAAGGCATTGAAGAACAGGGACTACCTGATTCTATTTGTGCTCCCCACTGTGCCATCCCTATCACCAGTAGACTCTTCATGAAGTTAGCCAGTCCCTCCAGTGGAGTGGGGCGAGGAGCCATGGAGGACAGTAATGCCACTGCAGAGTTGGGTGTTTTTAACTGGATGCTCTTGTTGAGCAGTGATGAGGCTTGGGAGGTTAGACAATACGGGTAGGGGTTGGAAGACACTCAGGAGTTTATGGAGAGGAAAGGACCAGAAGCTGAAAGGCTAGAGCCTGGTGAGCTGGGAGGAAGCCTCCTTGCCCAGGGAGAGGGGGGCCTGAGGAGAGCGCTGAACACAAGTTCCAGTGGAGGGGTAGCCCTTGAGGTGGTGCCTACGGGAACCTCAGAAAAGACTGTGATAGGCAGGTGTGAGTTCTAGCCAACCCGGTCTCCATGCAAGGAGTTTGCTGATTTCTACAAATGGAGAGTTGGGGGAAATGGCCAGGTTCAGGTAATCAGAATTTAGGTTTCCAGCGATGACCTCACAGCTGCACGTGTGTCCTGTGGCTCGACTCTGAGAATATTGCTGCCATGTCTCAGTCCATCTCCCTTGCTGTGACAAAATACCTGAGCCTGTGTCATTTATAGAGAATAGGTTTATTTTGCTTGTAGTTGGGAGTCCACAACCAGGTGGACGCATCTGCTCGGCTTCAGGTGAGGGTCTTGTGTTGCTTCCTGCATTGCAGAAGAATGAAAGGGCATGTGCCTAAGAGGTAAAACCCAAGCAGTCTGCTCTCAGGACAGCTAGACCAGGCCTGTGAGGGCAACGGCTCAACAGCCATCTGTTCAGAAACACCTACCCATACTGCCACGTTAGCAAGTGAGGCTGTATGTAAGTTTGGTGTGTAGCATCAGGCTCAACATAGCCTGAAGAGCCCACTGCCAGTCTAGGGACACAGACGAGCTGGGTGTGGCTTCCAGGCATGGAACTGTTGAGGGGAGTGGGGGTGTGTTCGCAGGGGCAGGCAGAGCCCGCAGGTTAGCACTACAGGCTATGTGTAACTGAGTCACCCTTTGTGATGTCTTCTAGCATCTCCACGACACGGTGAAGAGGAACCTTGACAGCGCTGCCTCCCCACAGAACGGAGACCAGCAGAACGGTTATGGAGATCTTTTTCCCGGGCACAAGAAGACCCGCCGGGAGGCCCCCCTGGGCGTTGCCGTCTCTGCCAATGGACTGCCCCCCTCCTCCCCTCTGGGCCAGCCTGACAAGCCCCCTGGGGGTGATGCTGTGCCGGCCAGCGGGAAGCACTCCATGGGGCTGGACTCCATCAACAAGAAGTGTTTGGCTGACACGAGCCTTCACCTGAACGGAGGCAGCAACCCCAGCGAGGCATTTCCTCTGAGCCTGGGAAAAGAGCTGAAGCAGGAGCCTGTAGACGATCTGCCCTGCATGATCTCTGGGGCCGGGGGTGCCATATCACAGAACAACCTCATGCCTGACCTCAACCTCAACGAGCAGGAATGGAAGGAGCTGATCGAGGAGCTCAACAGGTCTGTGCCCGACGAGGACATGAAGGACCTGTTCAATGAGGACTTCGAGGAGAAGAAGGACCCGGAGTCTTCCACTTCTGCCACTCAGGCTGCCCTGGCCCAGGACATCAGCATTAAGACAGAATTCTCGTCGGCACCCTTCGAGGAGGAAGAGCTAGGCTCTCAGCAAGTGAGGGCTGGGTCTGCAGGACAGACCTTCCTGGGGCCTTCGTCTGCCCCCATAAGCACAGATGCCTCCAGCCTCGGAGGCTCCCAGACTCTGTTCCACACCTCTGGGCAGCCCGGGACAGACAACCCCAGCCCAAACCTGATGCCGGCATCAGCCCAGGCCCAGAATGCACAGAGGGCCCTGGCAGGCGTGGTGTTGCCTGGCCAGGGGCCAGGAGGGGCCTCGGAGCTCTCATCTGCCCATCAACTCCAGCAGATCGCTGCTAAACAGAAGCGGGAACAGATGCTCCCGAACCCGCAACAGGCCACTCAGGCTCCAGCCCCAGGCCAGATGTCCACGTGGCCGCAGGCAGGGCCCTCCCACAGTCCTTTAGATGTTGCTTATCCCATGGAAAAGCCTGCCAGCCCTCCCAGCTATAAACAAGACTTCCCCAACCCCAAACTGCTCCTGATGAGCAAGAGCTCCCCGCGGCCTGGAGGCCCCTACCTGCAGCCCAACCATGTAAGCCTGCTGAGTCACCAGCCACCAAACAGCTTGAATCAGAACTCAGTGCCTAGCCAGGGCTCAGTGCTGGACTATGGCAACACGAAGCCCCTCTCTCACTACAAGGCAGACTGCGGGCAGGGCGGCCCCAGCTGCAGCCAGAGCAAGCCAGGCCTCATGGCTTACCTTCCCCAGCAGATGCCGCCTCTGAGTAATGAGCAGAATCCTTTGTTTATGATGAAACCAAAGCCAGGAAATATGCCCTTCCGATCTATGGTTCCACCCAGCCAGGTGAGTGTGTTCCCGCTTCCTCCCACCCTCTGTATGTTGCAGATAGGATAAGCTTGCCTCTTGTCCTGGAGGTCATTCAAGGCTGAAGGAGTTAAGGAAAGAGGAAGGAGCTGGTACCTCTGTGTCCCTTAGGAGTGACAGTCTATAACATAACCAGGTTTGGCTTCTTAACAGGAAACAGTTCCCCCAACGTAGGCTGATCTTCAGGCACTTCCTGCACAGCCTAGTGACTGTGCTGTGCAGGGAAAGGACACACAGAAGGTACTTCTGGAGGCTTTGCTCTTCGCCTTGTGCAGGCCTCATTGTGGGTCATCTTGAGTCATTCTACAATGTGCTGCTCCCCAACTGGCTCTTTGCTTGTCTCCTCCAGAGCCTGTAACCCAGCTGAATCCAGTTGCTGTACAGGGTAGAAAAAGACCCTTGGTGTTGTCTCCTGGTTTTCACTGCTGTAAGGCTGCAGTGAATGCCTTTGTGTGTTGGTCTCCGTGGATTTGAAATATGCCCTTGTGTTTAAAAATTAAAAATTTAGTAGGTCAGTGTTGTGGCACAGTGGATTAAGCCAGTTTGCAACTTGGACATCTCATATCAAAGCATCATTTCAGATGCTGGCTGCTATACTTCTAATCCAGCTAAAATATCTGGAAAGGCAGCAGAAGATAAACCAAGCACTCGGATGCCTGGCCACCCACATGAGAGACCCAAATGGAGTTCTTTGCTGCTGGCTTTGGCCTGACCCAGACCTTACTATTACAGGCTTTTGAGCAGTAAACCAGCAAATGAAAGATTCTATGCCTCTCCCTCTGTGTTGCTCTGTCTTCCAAATAAATAAAGGAATATTTTTTTTAAAAAAGCCAAAACCCCAACACTGGTGAACAGTCCCTCCCCTTCGCATTGGGGTTACAGAGCCATGGACACCAAACCCTACACATGCTGTATATTTTCCTGTTGCCCCTTCAGCGTGGCCACATAGACCAGAAGTCATCTCTTCTTCCAAGGCTGTAGACTTGCTACTTGAGCCTTGGAACCTTATGGAAAGAAATAAAGATTCCTGGAACGTAATCCCTGTGAAACCACAGCAGTTGATCTTACAGCCAGCACGGCTCCCATGTGCCTGACTGCCAGGCAGCAAGTGCACCACAGATAGATGGAGTAAGTAAAGAAGGGACAGGATTTCATCCTGCTACTCCCAGCGATAGTGACTCGACGCTGATGAATTCTTGGCTTCTGCAATTCTCTGTTTTAATATTTTGGGACCAAATGTTGACCACAGGAGGGCTCTAGTGGCACTCTGAGGAAATTGACACACTCATATATGGATGAGGGTGTGTAGAAGATGAGTGTACTTTAGGGAAATGACAGGCATTGCGTGTTGCTCATAAACCATAAAAATGCTCCTGAACCAAGACACATGCCCTGTTAGCTGACTTAACAGAAGCCATCCAAACTTACAAAGACATGTACAAGGTGCTCTTTTTTAAAACTGTTTGTATAGTTGAGAGGGATATACTGCCATGTAGGTCTCTGCTTAGGGTGAGCCGGGTTGACGTATGGAGGTTGTTGATAGGGACAAATGTTTCAGTTTTTTTTTTCTCCTGTGTCTGCAGTGGGGAAAGGGAGGGGTCCACTCCTTGCTGTCAAACTACACTGGCACCCATGGATAGGGGACAGTCATTTGATGACACCTGAGAGATCCTACAAGGGGAAGAGTGTTCCCAAGGTGTTTTTGGAGTGCTTTTGATAGTTCTGAGATATTGTCGACTTCATTGTACCAGGGTTGAGAAAATCCAAGGCATATTGGCTGACCAAATCCCTAGGCCCAGGAACGTATGGCAAAGCTTTGGCCAGGAGAGTGGTCCAACCTATTCTGCTTTCCCTCCTCTAACAAAGCAGTTGATGTCCACTGCTGGCCTGGATAAGCTGGCTCCCATGTACCCTGTGTATATCTGAACATGCTGTCTATTGCACAGGCATCAGCAGCTTAGGAGGCTCAGTCCTGATGCATGCTCTCCAAGGTTGTACCACATATATTGTGATTTCCATGTAGTCGGGGTTTGAGTCTAGCCATGTAGCTGGGAAAACCCCCAAGAAACCAGCCTGGGATGACCTCAGAAAGGCTTTATGGCTAAGGCTCACATCCTGCGGCAGTGGGGTAAGCTGCTACTTGCAGCACTGTGCTTCATATCTTTATATTCCATATGTGTCTGTCTGTCTTTCCCTGTCTTCTCTATAACTCTGACTTTTCTTTCTTAAAAAATATATTTATTTTTATTTAAAGGCAGAGTTACAGAGAAAAGAGAAGAAAGATTTTTCATCTGCTATTTCACTCCCCAGATGGCCACAGTGGCCAGGGCTGAGCCAATCTGAAGCCAGGATCCAGGAACTTCTTTTGGGTCTCCCACATGTGTGCAGGGTCCCAAGGCTTTGTGCCATCCTCAACTGCTTTCCCAAGCCACAGGCAGGGAGCTGGATGGGAAGTGGAGCAGCCAGGGCACAAACAGGTACCCATATGGTATGTTGGGGCTTACAGGTGAAGAATTAACCTATTGCATCATGAGTCATGTCACAATAAAGTAAATATTTTTTTTTAAAAAAGTGCTAGTTCTAGTACCAGCTGCCCCACTTCAGATCAGAATTACTGCCAGTGTTCAGACACTGCATGGGTGGGTCCCTGCTCCCCATGCAGAAAACCCAAATGGAGTTTAGTCCCAGTTTAGTCCCAGGCCCAGCTGTTGGGACCACTTGAGAACTGAATCAACATATCAAAGATCTCTCTGTCTTCCCTGGTTCTGTCCCTCTGCCTTTCAAATAGATAAATGAGTTTAAGGGAGGAAAAAAAGGTGCCATCAGCCATCAGCCATGACCTTAGGAAAGGTGGAGCCCCCAGTGACTGCTTTGGTAGCCAAGTTCCCCTTTGCATCTGGTGAAGTACTCAGGAAACCTTGGCCTCTGGTGCCAGGGTCACACAAGGAATTCACCCATCAGAATCAGCCTGAGGTTAGACTCAGATGAAGTATGCTCATGAGTAAGGACTCAAGATCGAACTGGTGGCTGTCTTATTGCTATTGGTTCCCTATTTTTCTTCTAAATGTTAGGTAGTGAGGGGTGGGCATTTGGTAGAGTTTAAAGATGCCATCAGGGATTCCTGCAGCCCTTGTTGGCGTGCTGGGTTCAAGCCCTGGCTGCTTTTCTGACTGCAGCTTCTTGCTGTTGAGCCCTGAGAGAGGCAGCAGGTAATAGCTCAGGTAGGTTCCTGAAATCTGCACGGGAGACTTAGATTGAGCTCCAAGCTCCTGGCTTCAGCCTGGCCCACTCCTGTTTCTAGGATTTGAGAAGTGACCCCCTGGGTGGGAAGTCTCTCTATTCTTGTCCCTCTGCCTTTTAATTGAAAGTGAAAATAGGGCCTGCCACGATAGCACAGTGTTAAAGTCCTCACCTTGCACGCTCCGGGATCCCATATGAGCGCCAGGTCTAATCCCGGCAGCCCCGCTTCCCATCCAGCTCCCTGCTTGTGGCCTGGGAAAGCAGTCAAGGACAGCCCAAAGCCTTGGGACCCTGCATCCGAGTGGGAGACCCGGAAGAGCTCCAGGTTCCTGGCTTCAGATTGACTCAGCTCCGGCCGTAGTGGTCACTTGGGGAGTGAACCATTGGACAGATCTTCCTCTCTGTCTCTCCTTTCTGTATATCTTGCTCTCTGTATATCTGCCTTCTCAATAAAAATAAATAAATCTTTTTTATAAAAAAATGAAAATAAATATAAGTTTAAGTAATGATAATACTTGGGATAATGTTATGGTTGCTTTTGGTATGATTCATTTTTGCCCAAGTATTAGCAGAACCACCAGAATCTCTATAAAAGTTCTTACTGACACTCAATATTTTTGGAGCATTGCTCTGTGACAGAAGCTAAGCAGCCTCTTCCTTGCACGTGCTTGTGTGTACATGGATGGAGTACAGAGCTAGCCCCAAACCCTGGGGTGACGCACACTTATCAGGGGCCTCTTCAGAGTGTTCCTCCCCTTACCGCTGGGGAGCAGGCTAGCACATGCTAGTTGGGTTGTGCTAGGCACCTGCATACGCGGGCAGTGCAGCTGTCGTCTCACCCCACCCCATTGGTGGCTGGCTGTTCCAAAGGCCTTGGTGGGGAGGGTGGCATCCTCACAGGCAGTGCTGATCCGACTGGTGAGTGCTGATTGTGCTTGGTTTCCTCTGATAGGAGCAGAACCCCTCCAGCGTCCCTGTGCCGGCCCAGGCCCCCAGCGTCGGGAGCCAGCAGCCTGCCGTGTCTGTGGCCAGCACCCACAGCAGCTCCCAGTACCTCAGCAGCCAGCAGGCCGCTGTCATGAAGCAGCATCAGCTGCTTTTGGACCAGCAGAAGCAGAGGGAGCAGCAGCAGAAGCATCTGCAACAGCAGCAGCAGTTCCTACAAAGGCAACAGCATCTTCTGGCAGAGCAAGTAAGGGCAAAGGAAGAGAACCACCTTTTGTCCCAACCCCCTTCCCAAGTCACACAGCAGCTGCTAGCTTTGCTTCTGCTTTGCCTGCCTGGCGGCAATGCTGGCCCTGGAAAAGCCCCTTCCAGGAGTGTGCCATTTCTCCTGCAGGGGTGCTACTTGTCAGAAGACGTTTGTCACCAGTGAGGAAGAACGAGCCTAGAACCTGCAGCTGAAGCCACATGACAATAGGCATTTGTTGCAGCGCTTGAGAAGCATTTGGTTGAGGCTGGCACTGTTCTGTAGGTTAAGCTGCTGCCTGCGCAGCACCAGCTCCAACCTCCGGTGTCCCGTACGGGTGCTACTTTGAGTCCCATTTGCTCCATTTCCAGTCCAGCTCCCTGCCAATATGCCTGCAAAAGCAGTGGAAGCTGACCCAAGTCTTTGAACCTCTGTACACACATAGTAGAGTTGGAAGAAGACTCTGGCTTATAGCCTCATTCAGAACCAGTAGATGGAAAATCTCTCTTTTTCCTTTTGTTTCTCTGTAGCTCTGACTTGTAACTTTCAAATCAGTAGATTTTTTTAAAAAGATTTATTTATTTTTATTACAAAGTCAGATATACAGAGAGGAGGAGAGACAGAGAGGAAGATCTTCCATCCGATGATTCACTCCCCAAGTGACCACAATGGCCGGTGCTGTGCCAATCTGGAGCCAAGAGCCAGGAACTTACTTCAGGTCCCCCACACGGATTCAGGGTCCAAAGGCCCTGGGCCGTCCTCCACTGCTTTCCCAGACCACAAGCAGGGAGCTGGATGGGAAGTAGAACAGCGCTCATGTGGGATCCCAGCACATTCAAGATGAGGACTTTAGCTACTAGGCCACTGTTTTGTTTTGTTTTGTTTTTAATAGAAAAAGGCAGCAGTGGCTGGTATAGCTGCATCCCACATTACAGTGCCCAGTTCTGCTGCTCATTGCAGCTTACTACTGTGCACAGCCTGGGAAGCAGCAGATGATTCATTAGTGAGATCCCTGCTCGAGTGTCCAGGCTCCTGGCTGTGACCCGACTCAGCCTGAGGAGGATGAACCAGTGTGTGGAAGATACCTGTGTGGGTGTGTACATGCACACATTGACTCTCTGCATTTTAAATAAATACATTTAAACATTTTTTTAAGATTTATTTTTATTGTAAGGTCAGATATATAGAGAGGAGTAGAAGCAAAGGAAGATCTTCCATACATTGATTCTCTCCCCAAGTGGAGTTGAGCTTAGCTTATCTGAAGCCAGGAGCTCTTCTGGGTCTCCCATGCAGATGCAGGGTCCCAACGCTTTGAGCCGTCCTCCACTGCTTTCCCAGGCCACAAGCAGGGAGCTGGATGAAAAGCAGGGCTGCTAGGATTAGAACTGGTGCCCATATGTGATCCCATCACATTCAAGGTGAGGACTGAGAAAATAGTAGAAGACAGTCCAATTACTTGAATCCTTGCACGCATAAAAGAAACCCAGATGGAGTTCCAGGCTGCTGGATTCTGCCTGCCCAGCCATGGCTGTTGAGGCCATTTGGGGAGTGAAGCAGCAACAGAAGATTGTGCTTTTTTCCTCTTCCTTTCTGTCTCTGTTCTCTTTTTCTCTCTCTCTCACACTCTCACTCTCAGTTTCACGCTCACTCTTATCTTTCTCCTTCCCTCCCTCCCTCCTCCTGTGTATCTCTGCCCTTCAAATAAATAAAATGAAGCTTAAAAATAAAATTTAAAAAATGACTCATGGTTGGCGGCTTCAAATCACTATCATCCAAAGCAGTTAGTTTGCTGCAAGCTCAACCTGAGGCTGTTCTCTAAGTTCTGGAATTCATGTATGATGTACTCACTTGGTCACATGCAACTGCCCAGGTTACAGACCAAAATTCTCAGGATATTAAATTTGGAGTGGAATTTTTGCTCAACTTTAGGACATCTACAGCACACTTTGGTGTGCCTGGATTCAAGCCCCCACTGCAATTCACATCGTGCTTCCTGCTGTTACATACCCTGGGAAACAGCAGCTGAGGGCCCAAGTGGGAGACCCAGGCGGAGTCCCAGGCTCCTGCTTAGCATGGGCTAACCCTAGCTGTATGAGCATTTGGGAGCTGAACCAGCTAGTCAGTGAAAGATGTGTGTCTTTTTCTCTGCCTATCATAAAAACAAGTGGTCTCATTCCTTCCTCTTTTTTTTATTTACTTTACTGATAGGGAGAGGGAGAAAACGGTCATCCAACCGCTAGTTGTCTTGCCGAATGACCACAACGGCCAGATCTGGGCCAGGCCAGGGCCAGGAACTCCATCTGGATCTTCCATGTGAGATTCTGGCCCAAGTGTTTGGGCTATTTGCTTTCCCAGGCACATTAGCAGGGAGCTGGATCAGAAGTAAGGCACAAAGGACCGAACCAGCACTTTTGGATGAGATGCCGGTAATACATGCAGCAGCTTTGGCCACTGGGCCACAACGCCAGCACACCTATTGTTAATTCACCACTCCGTAGGTTTGCCCCATCCTCCTGTTGCCTGCTAATCACAGCAATCTCCCCACACGAGTTCACTGGCCTGTTTTAATTGGACCCATTTGTGAGTGACAACCTTGGGTGATTGACGCTTCTCTGGCCTGCCTTGGTTGTTTTCACATGGATTTTACTGTTATTGGTTTTCTAGGAAAAGCAGCAGTTTCAGCGCCATCTGACCCGCCCGCCACCCCAGTACCAAGACCCAAACCAGAGCCCTTTCCCACAGCAAGTTGGACAGTTCACAGGTAAGGTGCTGCCATGGGAGCCGAGAGGATAGGCACCTGTGGCTGCTTGCTGTTGGGTCCTTTCTGGCTCCAGCTCTGTGCTGGGTACTAGCCGGTGACTTGGGGTGAGGCAGGAAGCAGCCCTTTGCCTCTGCGTCCCTTCAGAACCCAAGCTGCTTCAGACACAGGGAAACTAAACACCCTCCATGGTGTGCTCACTTCATGTCCCAGAGGCAGCTAGCTTCACAGTGGATAGGTGGCCAACAAAGGCGAGAATTCTGCCCACTGAGGTGTCAGCTGTCCCCTTGGAGACGTGCTGGGGACCTTGCTCAGGCCGCTGCTCTCAAGTGACAGTGCTCTGAGAGCTGCCCTGGCCCTGCCTACACTTCCCCTTGCAGTGGCTGGAAAACTGACCACATGCCTATGTCCTGGGGAGGCCAAGTGGCCTTTGAAGTTTGTGCTAACCAGGAGCTGCCAACTGGTCATGGCCATGGCCCAGGCTCCCTCTCACATTGCAGTGGACCATTAAGGGAAAGAAGATAAGTGCTCTCAGCTCCCTTCTTCACCCAGTTTTTATTGTGAGGAAGAGGAGACTGAATACTAAGCCCCAGCCCGTGGCTGCATTGTGGCTCACCCACCCAAGAAAGTCAGTTCTGATGTCCCTGAAGCCAGAAGCCCTAGACAGCCTGTCCCCAAGGACAGGAACCCACTGTCCCCAGCACGGGCTTTCTGCCCAGCCCCTCTGGCCCTCCGGGTTTCCTTCTTGGCCAGTAGAGCACTGATTATGAAATAGCTGGTGTTAGGATAGTCCCTTATACCAGGGCTGAGAACTAACTCCTTGAGGTGTCTCGTCATCTTGTCACTATTAGTAGTATGATGCCAACCTGATGAACAGGACCCTCTCTGTCTCCCAGGGTCCTCCGTAGCCACGCCGGGCATGAGCAACCTGGGTCCGTCCAACTCTCGCTGCCCTCGAGTGTTCCCGCAAGCTGGGAATCTGATGTCAATGGGTGCTGGACACACCTCCGTGTCCTCTCTCCCCTCCAGCCAAGGCCAGCAGGAGCGAGGGGTGGCCCCCTTTGCCAGCTCGCAGGGCATGCCTCCCAGCAGTCTGTATGGCGTGGCCTCTGGCATCACACCGATTGTCACCCCAGCCCCTCCCCAAGCCTCCAACGGCCACAGCCACATGGCCCGGCAGACAGCCATCGGCCCGAGTGCTTCCGTGTCAGCCGCCTATGGACAGAACTCTCTGGGCAGCTCTGGCCTCTCGCAGCAGCACGGTAAGGGAAGCCTGAACTCTGGCTTGAGCAAGCCTCAGGTCCCCCGGGTGTCGGCAGCCATGGGAGGCCAGAATGCCTCTTGGCAGCATCAGGGAATGCCGAGTCTGAGCAGCCAGAGCCCAGCCAACAGTACGGTTGGCCCCTTCCCGGCGGCCTCCAGTTTCCATATGCAGCAGGCCCACCTGAAGATGTCCAGCCCGCAGTTCTCCCAGGCGATGGCCAACAGGCCTGCAGCCCCCATGAACTCCACAGCAGCCACAGGCGCCATTCTGCCAACTGTGAGTGCACAGCCCAGGACCAGTGCCGCCGCCCCACCACCAGCGGCCCAGCAGCAGGCCATGCCGGGCCTGAGCCCTGCGGCACCTGAGCTCGGGGGCTTCAGCCAGAGCCCCGCCTCCCAAATGGGCGGCCGGGCAGGCCTACATTGCACCCAGACCTACCCCATGCGGACCGCAGGCCAGGAGCTGCCCTTTGCCTACAGCGGACAGCCAGGTGGCAATGGGCTGTCCAGTGTGGCTGGACACACTGACCTCATCGACTCCCTGCTGAAGAATAGGACTTCAGAGGAGTGGATGAATGATTTGGATGACCTTTTAGGGGCTCAGTAGGGAGAGATTGGTTATGTTTTTAAGATCTATATCCTATATTTTTGTTCTCAGATTTAAGAAAGAGCAACTACTTTGGACCAAAAGTGCATGGCCCAGGATGCTGGGTAGGAAGAGCCTGGGCCTGGCTAAGGGCCTTGCCCTGTCAGGGTGTGCAAGGCTCCTGGGTCAGCAGTGTAGCCCCTGGGGCTAGTCCCTGCCCATATGCTGGCAACAGGTCCCTTGTTGCCTCTCACGGCGGTTCTCTAAGTGACCAAAAGCCCACAGCAGGAGCAGTGTGGCCCGGGGAAGAGGCCTGTGGGACTGCACTCCTCAGTGCTCGCTTCCTTTCAGCTCTGCACCTGCCCCAGCGCTGTGCACAAGTGTTTGTGGAAACTTTATATACCATAATTATTTTGCAACTTATAGCATAGAAAATATATATTTGTAATGTTAGAAAGGTTTGTAAACAGCTTAGGAGTGGTGAGCAGCCTTGGGAACATGTGGATTCCTCCTCTCTGTCAGCTCTCGGGAGGAGAGTGGGTGCTGGGGCTCGCCAGCAGCGCTGGGCAGTGCCTACTGCCCTCTGGAAGTGGCTCAGCGTGTGAGGGCTGTGCCCTCCAGACGTGTGCAGCAGCTTCCCTGCACCTCTGCGTGTCCCATGACCTTTTCGTCTGCCTCCTTCCGCTCTTCCGCTCTCCAGCCAAAGTGGGAAAGAGTGCTTTCTGTTGGAGGGGATAGAGCTGGCCAGGTTCCTTGGAGAGCTGGCTGCAGGAGGCCACGGCCTGGGGGAGGGAGCCCCGCTCCGCCCAGGGCCTCTGCGCCCCGCACCATGACTTGCACTTTCACAGAGATCGCTTTATAACACTAACACGCCCTGAGATGCAGGTGGGTCTTGATGTTTATTAGTTCTATGAGTTGATGGACTTGACTGAGCTGAGAGGCAGGTAGAGGTGCACACACAGGGCCGGGAGAGGCCACGCCTCACTTTCCCTGTCCCTGGAGCCTGAACGCGGCTCTGTCTAGAAATGTCACATGAAAGAACTAAGCCAGGAGAAACACGGCCAGCCTGCAGGGTCTGGAAGGGCCTTGCCCACTTGCCCATTTGTTGTCTTGCACCACAGTGCCTTGTTTCTGGGGGTGCTCAGGCCCTCAGATCCCAGATAGCCATTTGCCAGCACAGGTGGAGTAGGGGCTGTTTCCCCTCTGACAGCCTCCCTGCCTTGCCCCATCAGCTTAGCTCTCCAAAACCCCTGTTCTACCCACCACGCAGGCTGGCCAATCAGAAGGTGAGGACGGTGTGTCTGCAGGTTTTCTACCAAAAAACAGGGCTGGAGGCCGGCCTGGCCCTCTGCCGTGCCCCCAGGGCCGCGGCCCTGCTGCCAGCCTGGCCCTCGCCCTCTGCCTTATTGCCGGGGTTGCCACACAGACAGGGGCATCTCATTGCTGCAGTGTCCTAGCAATAAAATGTGACTCTTAGTCGCGCCCAGGGAGCTTCCCGTGGCTTTATTTATGAATCTGGTTTTGGGAGCCATGGGAGAGCTGACATCCAGCACCCCCTTCCCCAGAGCCACGACTCAGAAGAAAAGGGTGCTCGGACTTCCTACACATTCGCTTTGTGTAAATAAATGTTTACAGTTTTATATGGAAGATGGAATGAGCGTTAGAGCTGCCGACTGTATATTTTTTACTTTTATAGATTTAAAAAAAAACTATCATCCTTTATATATGTGTCTTGGGGGGAGCTGTGATAAGTTTTATGGCAAACAGTTGGTATTGTTAACTTTTTATTGTCATCAAAAGTACATGAAAATCCTATTAATCCCGTTATTCTTCTACTGCCCTTAACCCAGGTATACACCAAAAAAAGAAATCTTTTCTTTTTCTTTGTTTTATCATTATAAAAATAATAAAAGTATTTTGTTAGTATGGAAACTGCCTGTGGTGTTGACTGCTGCGGGCCCTGGCGTGGGGGGAGGGCGGCAGGTTCCATGAGTCTCAGGTTGTAGGTTGACGGGTGCTCAGTCGGAGCTCATGGCACGCTGAGACACCAGCCCCCTGGGGTTGGACTGCACGGTCTGCTTGTGCAGCCTCAAAGAAGCTGCAGTCCTAAAGAGTCAAGGAAGGGGCCGTTTCCCTGGCGCAGCAGGCTTAGCTTCTCTGACTGTGACACTGGCATTCCTGTCCCAGCTGGTCCACTTCCAATCCAGTTCCCTGTTTAAGGCCTGGGAAAACAGCAAAGGATGGCCAAGTCCTTGTGCCCCGCACTCACATGGGAGACCCAGAAGAGGTTCCTGGCTCGGGATTGGCTCTGCTTCAGTCTTTGCAGCCATTTGGGTAGTGAACCAGCAGACAGAAGATATGTGTCTCTCTTTCTGCAAATCTGCCTTTCAAAGGGAAATAAAAACTTATCCAAAAATGGGCCTGGTGCAGTGGCCTAGCAGCTAAAGCTCTTGCCTTGAGTATGCCGGGATCCCACACTGGTGCTGGTTCTAGTTCCGAGAGCTCCACTTCCCATCCAGCTCCCTGCTTGTGGCCTGGGAAAGCAGTGGAGGATGGCCCAATGCTTTAGGACCCTGCACCTGCATGGGAGACCCGGAAGAAGTTCCTGGCTCCTGGCTCTGGATCAACAAAGCACTGGCCATTGTGGTCGCCTGGGGAGTGAATCATCGGATGGAAGATCTTCCTCTCTGTCTCTCCTCCTCTCTGTATATCTGACTTTGTGATAAAAATAAATAAATCTTTAAAAAAAAAAAAACTGGACCCAGCGTGATAGCATAGTGGTTAAAGTTCTCACCTTGCACACGCCAGGATCACATATGGGCGCTGGTTCTAAACCTGGCAGCCCCACTTCCCATCCAGTTTACTACTTGTGGCCTGGGAAAGCAGTGGCGTACAGCCCAAAACCTTGGGACCCTGCACGCACATGGGAGACCCGGAAGAGCTCCTGGCTTGGGATTGGCTCAGCTCCAGCCGTTGCAGCCTCTTGGGGAGTGAACCATCCAATGCAAGACCTTCCTCTCTTTCCTCCTCTGTATATCTGCCTTTCCAATAAAAATAATAAAATCTTATTTTTAAAAAAATGATGGGGAGGAATGAGTTACAGAGGCGGGGAGTGGAGATGCGTGTCCTTTGACAAGGGAGATGTCCCAGCCACAACCCAGCTGCATGAGGCATCGTGAAGAGGCAAGGACCGGTGAAGTCCTGGCTAGGTGCACAGCCTTGCAGGGATCGTGCGATAGATGCAGGAAGCAGGCTGTCCAGCTGGCATCATTGTCTACCTCACATTGCCGGTACCAAGCAGCCGTGCTTAAGACTGGAACGATGGGAAGCACAGCTGTCACAGGTATTTTAAATATTTATACCTTTTCAACATAACTTGCAATAATCATTTTTGGGAGGGCTCTTATATTGCAAGGCAGTAGAAAGGAGAGCAAGTAACATAACTCCCTTCCCACTTCCTGGTTATAAAGTTACCAGCTAACTCTCAGAATCCGAAGAGGCATTGAATAGCCAGGCCCAAGAGTGACAAGGACCAGGCAGCTCCAGGGCCCTGCAGCTCTGCCCGCGCGAGGGGTCTCACGAGTCTCCAGTCGGGCCAGTGGCAAGTGGAGGTGGGTTTCTGATGGGACGGGTCACTCAGCAGCTGCTACAGAGCTGCTGCCACTGCCAGGACCCGTGCTAGGGTGGCAAGGTCCCCACACCTAGAGCTGCAGTGTCCTGTGGTCACTGGAATGTTGGCAAACACGGGAACATGTCTGGGCATCAAAGGTGTTGGGCAAAGACCCTTGGGCTACCCCGCAGCGCGCCCTGGGAGCTTGGGGACCTGGATTTGAGGGGGATGGGAGATCACACAGGGATCACAATGACCTGTGGGTTTCTGCCCAAGTAAGGAATTACAGTTGAGGGACTTCCGTAGGTAAGACCATGGCATGTGTACGTAAGTAGGGGGCTGAGACCAAATTGATTTGGAGGGGAAAACAAGAGGGCTTTTAAGAGTCAGACCTGGGGCTGGCGGCGTGGCCTAGCGGCTAAAGTCCTCGCCTTGAACGCCCCGGGATCCCATGTGGGCACCAGTTCTAATCCCAGCAGCTCCACTTCCCATCCAGCTCCCTGCTTGTGGCCTGGGAAAGCAGTCAAGGATGGCCCAAAGCTTTGGGATTCTGCACCCGTGTGGGAGACCCGGAAGAAGTTCCAGGTTCCTGGCTTCGGATTGGCATAGCATCAGCCGTTGCGGTCACCTGGGGAGTGAATCATCAGATGGAAGATCTTCCTCTCTGTCTCCTCCTCCTCTCTGTATATCTGACTTTGTAATAAAAATAAATAAGCCTTAAAAAAAAAAAAAAGACCTAAGTGCAAGCACACATGGGAGACCTGAGCTGGGGTAGTTAGCATCAACCAGGACCAAGTACTACCCACTGGCACACACTAAAGCCAATACTGGGGCGTAACAGGCTCAGGCCTGGTTTAGGCTGCTCCCACTGTTGCTTCTTGTTCCTGACAAAGGAATTTCCCAGGCTCTTTTAAACTTTATCCATCCAGCACCTTGCTAATGGCAAACCTTGCGCACACTGGTGGGTCCTTGGCCCAGGTTGAATTGGTCCACCTCTTGTTCTGGCAGGAACAGTGTCCTTACCCAATCGTCCTAAACACATTCCAGCTCGTACTGTTGGGTATTGCAGCCCAGCCTTACCTGGTCCACACCCAGACACAGCCCTCATGTGGTTCAGCGAGAGATGAGACCTAGCCCAGGCCCTGCTACACCCACACTGGCTCTCACTAGTACCAGCGGGCGCTGGAGTCTAGCCCAGTCTGACGCTCCTCAGACCCAGTCCCCATCCATGCTGAGGGAGATTGCAGCCATGTCCAGCCCAGCCAGGCGTGTTCCAACCACAGATCCTCTGTGTGCCATCGGAGATTGCTGTTCCGTATAGTTCCCAATATATTCTGCCCCCAGACCTAATTCACATGCTGATTAGTGTCATGGACCAGCCTCACCTTACCCATTCCCTGTTCCAACTCTCACTGGTAGGTTCTCTGATCTAGCCCTGCAAGTTCGGTGGCCTTGTCCATGGAAGACCTCAAAAGTTGTTCCTCACTTGGTCATGAATCCTCAGGTCCCTGGTTGACCCCACCTGTGTCATCCCACAGACCAGATGTCAGTTCACACCCGTAAGTCCCCAGAACATGGCACTGGGTGAACCAAGACTTCACCTGGCACCATTGGTGCTCGGGCCACCCAGACCCTTCCCTGCCCCAGGGGGCCATGCCACCCAGCTATCCACACCCTAATTGGAGGTCCACATGGGCATGTATCCCTCTTAACTATGTAAACATCAAAAATAAAATGACTTTATTACTTAAAAAAAATCAAGACAGCAACCCAGACCGGGCAAGGTTACAGTACCCACCATCATACATGTGGGTCAGGTTGGGGGTGGGCCAAGCTGGGCCAGTTCATAACACCCACCGGCAGATGTGAGCACCAGGACAGGGTACAGGCCAGGTCAGGTCAGGCTGCAACACCAGTTATTTCACATTACGGCCGGGACTGGAGGCTGGCTGGGCTGAGCTAAGCTACATCAGCCACCAGCATGAGCTTGAACTCGGGGTAAGCTGTGCTGGACCAAGCTACAGCATCCCCAGTGAACAGCATACCCAAATGCACATGGGAGTTATGGCAGTCCATTGGGACCTGCAGAGAACATCTACTACAGAGCAGAGGATTGGAGAGCAGAACACATTGGACAACTCTCCCAGCCACAAGCACTTGGACCTTGGAAAGATTTCCTCTGGAGCAACAAAATCAATAGCATTTCAGAACCACTTCAGCAAGACCCTTTGAGCATGCCCCATGTTGGGGACCTGGGATGAGTGGGAGGCTGGGTGAGGCTTTTCCCTTTATCTCCCCCTCTTACCCCAGATACAGAAAAAAATAAATTTTTAAAAAATGTGGAAACAATGGTCTTACCCACTTTCCTGTAGCCCTTGACCCTAATCAACTATGTAAAGATTATCAAAATAATAAAAGGATTTTTTTAAAGATTTATTTTTATTATTTTTTCATTGGAAAGGCGGATGTACAGAGAGGAGAGACAGAGAGGAAGATCTTCCGTCCGATGATTCACTCCCCAAGTGAGCGCAACGGGCCGATACTATGCCGATCCGAAGCCAGGAGCCTCTTCCGGGTCTCCCACGCGGGTGCAGGGTCCCAAAGCTTTGGGCCGTCCTTGACTGCTTTCCCAGGCCACAGGCAGGGAGCTGGAAGGGAAGCGGGGCTGCCGGGATTAGAACCGGCGCCCATATGGGATCCCGGGCGTGCAAGGCGAGGACCTTTAACCACTTGCGCCACCGCGCCGGGCCCAATAAAAGGATTTTTAAAAATCAAGTGCTGTACTCTTGGAGCATGCTCCACATTGGGGACCCTGAGATGACATACAGTGGCCGTTGGCCAACCCCAGGTACTGTTGTGGCTAGGATGCTGGGTGAAGCTTCTCCTCTCCCTCCCTTCCCCCAAATACAGGAAGAAGAAAAAGAAAACTGGAAACAAATTCTTTAGTCCACTTTCCCTTATTCCTCAACTCTTCCCATTCTAATAAGTGGTCCAGATGGCATACATCCTTCTCAACTAGGTAAACATCATCAAAACTAAAATTTAAAGAAAAATATACAAGATTAGGTGGCCAGTGTGATGGCTCAATTGATCCTCCACCTGATGCACTCACCAGCATCCCATATGGGCGCTGGTTCTAATCCCGGCAGCCCTGCTTCCCATCCAGCTCCCTGCCAGTGGCCTGGGAAAGCAGTCAAGGACGGCCCAAAGCTTTGGGACCCTGCACCTGCGTGGGAGACCCGGAAGAAACTCCTGGATCTCTCCTGGCTTTGGACCAGCTCAGCTCCAGCCATTGTGGCCACTTGGGAGGTGAACC